TCACGGTTTTTCATCTCAAGACCTACAAAAGCTACAGGGCTGGAACCTTGAGAAATTAATCTACATGCATGTACGGGCCCCAATCCCCAAAATGGGCGTCATTACCCGCGTGATACCCGCGTACGGGCCCGCCAAAATTTTTTTCGAGTAAGTTTATAACTCGGGGACCTAAGAAGCTAGAAAGCCAAAATCTTTGGGGAATGTTCCCCTCCAAGTGAGTATTAATGAGCTCAAACCCAGTCACCGGGTAAGCATGGTACCCGCGTACGGGCCCGCCAAAATTCTCGGGTAAGTTGATAACTCGAGTACCTGAGAAGCTAAAGGACCATAATTTTAAGAGGGTATACACCGTCCAACTAAGTTCCATTTAGCTCAAACCCAACTCTCGGGTATGCGTGGTAAACATGCACAAGCCCGCGAAAATTTTTTTCCAGTAAGTTGCTAACTCAGGAGCCAGGAAAGCTAGAAAGCTGAAATTTTAAGGGGCGTTTTCTGACAGTTCTGGCGGCCAGTCTTAATTTGTTTAGCTGGAAGCATCTGCCGAAAAAGCCGATGCCGGCAGCAACAAAAACTGCGGGAAACTATGCAAAAACCCCATCTTTGCACGGACAGCCCGTGCGTTGGCCAATTATTCCTTTTTGCACAGCAAAACGATTTTCGGCTCTCTTCAACCGTTGGCCAAGCAAATATTAAAATGAATGCCGAGAGATTTTCAGAACTCGTACTCTGCGGATCTGATCAGTTCGATGTTACCGCTAACACTGCTGGGAACCATCCCACTTCTCATGTAAAAGGCTGCGTACTTTACCTTGCTGAAACGCAAAGCAAAAGTTTGCTGCTCGGTAAGGTTTGCTCAGATGTGCAAGTGCTGGAATTTCGGCACATGATGAGAAGAGTGTTGTAATTACATTTTCTACACTTGTTCAGTTCGTGACTCGATGCTTTTCGTTGTTTTTAATTGCGGTTGAGTTGGATGAAATAACAGAAGTGCTCTTCCGCATTTCTTCAGACCGTTTCTTTTCGGTTGAGATTGTAGTTGTAGAGATTGTTCTCCAATTTCCACGCAGTTTGTTTGCAAGAAAGAGAAAATTCCACATTTTGATCTTCATCGCTTTTCTTGTTTCCTCTCTTTGACAGTACTTTCGAATTCAGTCGTCGAGATTAAGTGTAATCACCCGCTTCGTTTTGTGCACTCAAGAACATATCAGCGAAGCACTGCTAGCCTTGGCTAATATCCTTCATCGCACTTCAATCAGCTTTCCTGGCTTCATCATCTCTCCACAGATCTCACTGGGTCTGTTTTTCTCACTTGCAGCGTATAATACCGATTTTTCGCAAGCCAAGGCATTCTTACCCCCAACATGCAGT